AAAAATTAGGTGTCCATAAACTCGTGGGTTTATATCTGGGTTTTCTATTCAAATCCACTGGTTCAATAGTACACTTTAAAGTCAGTTTGTGGCAGGACCCCTCAATGAGATCAATTTCATATCATTTCATTCATCAATAAATCAAAATCCCCACTCCTAAATGAAATTTTAGGCACTCAGGCCATCATTCTAGTATTCTCATCCTCTGCCCTCTCTGAGGAGAGCTTTAGGCACTTCATAGCACAGAGCACAAAGCAGCTTTCTGATTTAATCTGACCCTGATGGTGATAAAAATGGGATTTTTTTTTTGCTGTCTCACTTTTCTGCAAGAAATATATACCGCTATTGTAACAAGGAAAAAGCTTAAAAATGGAAAATATGATCCATTAAAAATAAATCCCCATAAGAGAAGAAAAAAGATCTGGCCTGTCTCATGATCTCAGGCAGGTAAGGGACAGAGGATAAGTATTTATAGCTGAGGGTGTTGCCTTTACACAGACTTTCAGATTGGAAAACACCCTAGGATGCACTCTTCAGGTAGTTTCCATGACAGGAGCTTGACTTGAAAACTCTTTCCCATACAAGAAAGCAAGTTACAAGAAAGCAAGTTACAAGAGTAATGTTATTGGATGAATAACCTTGAGTTTGTGCTAACTTGTAAAAATATTAATATAATACTCTACTTCTTGGCAACAACCTTCACGGCTTACCTGTACCAGGTCAAAATGTTCTAAACAGGAGGAAGTTGGCCCTGCTTGGCCACCATGCAGAAGTGGACAGATACAGTGTCTCATGTTTGTCTCACTTTTTAACTTCTACTCTATTTTCAACCCTTGTATAGACCAAATGGTGTCCCCTCAAATTTCATACACTGAAACCTGCACCCCCCAATGTGACAGAGAGGCATCATCGAGGGAGGGCAAATGAAGATGTACAAGTAGATCTCTGGTCTGATGGGATAGATGTCCTAGGACACCTAAGAACTTACTTTTCCTTCAGGCACCAGCAAATGAGGGAGAATTTTGGAGAAACCAATTCTAGTCACACCTTCATCTGGACTTTAAACTTCCAGAAATAAATTTCTATTGTTAAATCAATCTGTGGAATTTCATAACATAATATCCAAAAAACCTGCAACATTCTGCAAGGTGGAAAAGAGGGCTCAAAGAGGTCAAAAGATGTGCCCAATATCACTAAGCTAGCAGCAGGCAGCACCAGAATCCAAGCATGAATCTTCTGGTTCTCTTCTGGCTTATTACTTTTCAAGCTCAGATGGGTTTTAGGTAAATTTTAATGACAGTTAAAAATTATAAAACCATAGATTTTATACTTTTGCCAATTATGACTCCAACCCTCTTCTGAGCATATAGCTTCCAAAGCTGTCTCCTGCCTTCTGATAAGCAGAGTGAACTAAGACAGAAAACCAAAAATACTTACAATGGCCCCAGACATAAACAAGGGGGACTTTTTTGCAAAACAGTTTTTGAAAACTGTTAATATCATTTATATGTTAAAGTACTAATATTCTCCCTCTTTTATCAAATTATGTTGCTGTAACTCACTGATATATATTACTACATTCTGTGTGCATCATTTTACTCCCTTGTTCTTTAAGTTTCAGTTTTCTCCTGGGACTCAAATTAATCCTTTCAAGACCAAGGCTGTGGTGCCAAAAATGGAACCCAGCTTAGGCACAGGTTGAAGCCACAGGCACAGGAACCTGGCATGGGTGAGGGTTGCCAATCGGTATCATTGCTTATCTGCCCTCTTAGGCTCACCTCCCACACTTCTCTCCAGGATCAGGGTGATCTGACTGCCAATTTGAGAGCCCAGTCTGTCCAGCACAATCCCTGGCTTGTACACAATTCAACTGGCAGAATCACGTCCCTAAAGTAGAGGGCATGGATGGGGTCTACCCCAGGACCTGCCAGCTGGCATAGTCAAGGGGACCTCACCTTTTGAGGTCACAAGGCTAATCTTGACACAAAGTTAATCTTGTCTCCACGTCTGGAAGGGCTGCTTTGATGGCCTATATCTCATACCTCAGGGAGTTTGTCTCACTTGCTCTCTCTCTCTCTCTCTCTCTTTTTTTTTAAAGATTTATTTATTTGTACATACAGAACTGGGGTATAGGCTGAAGGTGCAGGGGCAGTGAGAGGATTCACCAGAGACAGAGTGGGAAGCAGAACAGGCAGATCAATGAAGTACACTGCAGAGGGGAGAGCAGAGGGCGGGCCAGGACAGGTCTGCCACACCATGTGGATCACCTCTAGGGTGGGGCTCGAACTCATGCTTAAGGAGCTTTAGCTTTTTAGTGCTGCACCTTAACCCACAGGGAGGGCCCTCACTTGCTCTCTTTAGGCTAAGGTACAAGGAAAACTTTCCTTGGCCTTTTTTTCCCTAGTGTCCAAAAGAATTACTTGAGGTTTTCTGCTTACACCTGGTGATTATGATTCAAAGACCAGGGTGTTCAAAGCATGTTGACACTCCTCTGAAAATGGA